AGCAGCCCCCACTGCTTCTGGGGCTGGGGAAAGGCCAGAACACCAGTAATATCCCCTTCCCCACCACCTCTTTTTCTGCTGCCAAATGAGAGCCACGCACCCCATAGTGTCCCATGGGACCCAGCCCCAATTCTGGGACTCACAGCTGCCCCTGCAGGAGGGGAGCAGAGAGGGCTCCCCTCACGCTGAGGTCACCCCCCCTACAGTGCTGTGTTCAGCTCGGGGGTCCTCAAACACGAGTAGGACATGGAGCTCTTGGAGCACATCCAGAGGAGGCCATGGAGATGATGGGAAGGCTGGAGCAGCTCTGGAGCCAGGCTGGGAGAGTTGGGGTGTTCAGCCTGGAGAAGAGAAGGCTCCAGGGAGACCTGAGAGCAGCTTCCAGTGCCTGAAGGGGCTCCAGGAAAGCTGGGGAGGGATTTTGAAGAAGAGCAGAAAGGGATGGGATGAGACAGAAGAGTTTTAAGCTGAAAGAGGGGAGATTGAGATTAGATTTTAGGAAGAAATATTTTGCTGTGAAGGTGGTGAGAGCCTGGCCCAGGCTGCCCAGGGAAGCTGTGGCTGCCCCATCCCTGGCAGTGTTGAAGGGCAGGTTGGATGGGGCTTGGAGCAGCCTGGGCTGGTGGGAGGTGTCCCTGCCCATGCAGGGGGTTGGAACAAGACAGTCTTTAAGGTCCCTTCTGACCCAAACAATTCCGGGATTCCTAATGTTCATAGATTTGGGGAATGGAGGAACAGGGCACAGGGTCTCACTAGTCCCTAGGGAATGTGATGGGCTTAGTGTGACACAGCAGTGCTGGGGAGCGCTGGGCAACATGGTTGGGCCTTGCTGCTTTGACCCCCTGCACTAGCAGAGGCTGACATGGGCCCACGGGCTGGGGACACCCCACATCATGCCCCTCAAGGACTACTGCTGGTCCATACTTCTCTGCTCTTCCTGTGCCTTGGCAGATGGTAGAGGCCAGGCTTCCCTGTCCCCCTGCCTCATGGGTGCCTCCAGCGTGGGGAGTCTTCAGGCAGCCAGCCAAAATGGGCAGCCAGCCCCCACGTGGAGCCCCCCAACTCCCCAGCCATGCTCAAAGCCATTGCTCACAGCCAACCCCCTGTGCCAGTGACACAGGCACACCCAAAGCCAAAAGCCTTCTGTCCCTCCATCCCACCCTGGCTGGGTGCTGGTGGATGCTCACCAGGCTCCTCTGGGTGCTGCTGGGGTTTCCCTACTCGTGT